GGCGGCCGGCACGGCACGGCACGGCGCGGCACACAATGGCACGGCACCTTTCTACTCAGTAGCTTGGCATGCCACCCTTTAGCCCAGGGACCTGAAGGGAACCGCTTGGCTCAGCTTGGTACAGACCAGCCACAGCATGGCATGATACGGAAAGCTGGTAGACCTCAGTGCAGCCCGACAGAGCACAGCTCTGCTCCACATGGGATGGCAGAGGGGCCAGCACGGGTTAACTGGCCCAGCACGGCTCAGCCTGGCATGCCTTGGTGCAGTTCAGCTGGGTTGGCACGTTCTGGCTTGGCTCAGCTCAGTTCAACATGACACAGGGCTGGCAAAGTTAAGTTGGGTACAGCGCAGAACAACCAGGGGCCTCATCTGGCTTAGCTTCACTTGGCCTGCTCCAGTTTTGTTCAGTGCAGTTCAACTTGGTTGATTTGGGCAAGCAGGGCTGTCACAGTTCAGCTCAGCAGAGCCTGGCCTGGCTTGACTATGCACAGTTCAGCTCAAAATAAGCCAGTTTGGTTCAGCACAATATGATGCCACCAGGAACGCACACCAATAGGGCCTGCTTGGCACAGCTTAGCCTGGCACGGTGGCAGTTCGACAGCACTCACGCGGGTGCAAGGGGGTGGCAGTAGCGTGATGCGGCTCCCCCCGGCTCCCCACTGCACAGTCACACTGGCGCCCCAAGCTCCACCGCCTGCAGGCCAGCACATGTTGCTGGCTCCTGTCTGACCTACCCATGCCAGCCCCCACCCTGGCCAGATCCTGCTGGGCACCTTGGGGTGTGTGTAGCAGTTTGGCCGTTCTTCACCTTTGTCGTTTCCCTGCCAGGTCCAGAGGCAGCTGTGCCGCTGGAGGGAATTGAGGCGGGGGAGGAGGAGGCGGCGGATGGCAGCCGGGGATGGTGGGAGTGGATCGGCACGGATTCCCGGGGGATCCCGAGAGTCGTGCTCCTCCCCTTCCCGCCTGGGGCCACGACTCTTACTCATATCCGTCCCAGACAACCCAGTCGGCCTGGAAAGCTCTGCTCTGCAAGCAGCGCCTGCGGCCCCTGGTTGCCTGCCATGGATTCCCGGGAGGGTAGGCTTGCAGTGCCAGGCTGGTGAGACACCCTAAGCTTGTTTATTCCCAGTGCTGGAAGGGTTTCAAGTTTTTCTTGGTAGTCCCTGTCCACAAGCACCTGCCTTGAACTCTGCCTGCTCCCTGCACAGCCCAGCTTCAAGCAGGCCAGTACAGCCAGACTGTCACGGGGTGCAGGGTGAAGTGGTACCTGGGCTATTTGTAGCGCTGGAGCCCTCCCAGGAGAGATGCCCGGTCCTTCCCTCCCTCCCCCCCTATACAGCTGTGATATGTCAATCGCTGACATGTCCACCACCCTGACCAAAATCTGCTCTTCCCTATGGCTTTCCCACCTGCCTTGTCATGCTCCCACTCATGACTGCTGCTGCCATTCCCGGACTTTTCCCAACCTTCACTGAGTCGTCTGACCCTTGTGCACTTTCCCAAATGAGTAACCAGGGCTGCCTGGCCAGGCGAGAGGGCTGTTGTGCCCGGGCTCATCACATGGCCCCGCAGCACATTTAGCACCACACACACCCCCACACAGCCCTCCCAACCTGTAGCACTGTGCCTAGCTGACACCAGGAAGGGTGTCAACACCTTCAGACAACAGACACCACTGCAACCCTGCCAGCTCTCTCCATGTCCCTATCCCTGCACCAGTGATTCCCAACCAGTGTGCTTACCCTGGGATGCTTCCATCCCAGCAGGAGAGCAACAGTGTACTGTGGGTATGGGCACAACACCAGGGGCTCTGGATGTGGCACTGGCTGCAGCTGCCCACACCACACCACACCACACCACACTCTGTAGTGTTTCCCAGGCAAGCACCATGGAGTCACTGTCCTCAGTATGAAAAGTGCCTCAAATGGCCCATGCCATCGAGAGGATGGGTATTGTGCTCACAACCTCTTGGCTTTGAGCAGGTGCTGCCAGAAAGACCTGGAAACTAGTCAAGGTAGCCAAAATTGTGGGCATGCTGATGGTGATGGCAGGATGATTCCTAAAGTGGGAAATCAAAAATTCCTAAAGCCTTCTGGCTTACCCAGACATACTTAGCACTGCTGGGCTCAGGGTCACTCTGCTCAGCCATGTGCCTTAGCATCAGCTCGGCAGAGTGAGGCACTGAGCAGCCTGGCTGTGCTGCGGGGCTGTTGGGGAGCAGAACCCAGGCTCTGTGCCTGCTGGGGCGCAGACCAGCTTGCAGCAATGGGCACAAAGGTGCTGAGCCGCTGCTGGAGAGTCAGCACAGTGTGGAGGGAGCTGGAGGGACTCTGATCACATGAAAGCACCCTCTCAGGCTCTGTCTGGCCCCATTCCCCTAAGACCCAGCAAGTTCCTGCCTCTTTAAAACCTGATTGAGTCCATGCCTTTAAAATGAGCCTGGGCAGGGACCTCCTACCCTGAAGGGGCGGTATGAGCCAGGAGCGGGTGGGCTGAGTGAGCTGGTTCTCCTAAGCCTAACCCTACCCCAGCACCTTTACAACCCCTATAGCCAGGCTCTGTTGGACTAGCTTTGCTCCTGGTCTGGGTTTTAGTGTGGAACTTGTACCCCTTTTTGCATACAGAATCGCCCCCACCTTTCTGTTCCTGTGCTAAGCTGAAGCAGCTGGTGTGGTTGTCCTGTTTTGATAGGAGCTGGAAGCACCCTGGGATCCTTTTGCTGGTGCCTACAGTCAGCTCTGCCTCTCAAGCGGGGAGAAGCATGACTGCAGGTTCTCCCTAATTCTTCTGCTGGCCATCCCCACCTTCTCCCACTTACGTGCTCCCTCCCCAAACACACACTCACCTATTGTGGCTATGCCCTACCCTTTCACCAGCCTCCTCCTCCTCCTTGTTGTGCCCCTTTCCCAGGCTGCAAACCAGTCCCCACTGCCCCTTGGCTCCCTGCCTGCTGTCCCTACCCTGCCCCTCCTGCAGGCCCTGCAGATGGCTGTCACAGGCACTGCTGTGCGGGGCTGTGGCAGCACTATGAGAGAAAAGGGTGCTGCACAGCACCTCCTGCACTGTGCTAAGAGGGTACTGGTCACTGCTTCCCTGCAGGTCGCTGGTACTTGCAGGCCCTCACCTATCATCTGGAGGGCCAGCCAGAGGCTGAGCACCTCCTCAGAGCCACTGTGGTCTACCTGCCCAGTCTGTCACTGGCCCATGGTCTTCTCCTCTGTGCTCTGGAGCTGGTGGTGGCTGGCGAGGCGCCCAGGGTGCTGCTCAGCCCTACTGCCCGTCCTCGTCACGGCTGGGCCGAAGTTGACATCACCCCTTACTTGGCACTGGGGAACAGCAGCGTGGGGAGCCTGGCACTGCAGCATGTCTGTGTGCGTGCTGGCCGAGCAGGAGGCCATGATGCCCCAGTGGCCCCTGGCCATCCTTTCCTCCTTCTCTATCTTAAGGATACCCAGGCAGGGTTGGCACCTCTGGCAGCAGAGCCACACCGACGTGATACAGGGATGTTGGCTCATGACCTGCCCAACTACCTGCAGGAGCAGGGAGGGGAGAAGAGTGACTGTTCCCTCCACTCCTTCCCTGTCAGTTTTGCACAGCTGGGCTGGGACCACTGGATCATTGCTCCTCACTGCTACAACCCACGCTACTGCAAAGGCACCTGTCCCCACCTGCTTCGCTATGACTGCCATGCACCCAACCATGCTGTGGTGCAGAGCTTTGTTCATGTTGTGGATGCCAATGTGCCCCGGCCCTCCTGTGTGCCCTACAGCTACAGCCCTATCAGTGTCCTCATGATTGAGCGCAGTGGAGCCATACTGTACAAGGAGTACGAGAATATGATTGCAGAGTCCTGCACTTGCCGGTAATTTCCACTGCCCCAGCACAGCACCCCTGGGCTCTGCCTCTTCCTGCAGATCTGGACTTCAGGGTTTATCTTGCTCTGTCTGGGGCTCACTTGGCTCATCTCCCTTCCCCATGCAGTGCTGCTCCGTGGGGAGGTTTTACAATGACAATTTTATGTAAATTGTGGATTTTTAAAAGCAGGAACCTGTGCTGGGGTGGTTGCCCCATGGCATCTGTCCTTCCTGCAGCCCCCATGGCTGCTGCCTGGTTTTGGTTGCCAGGGGGGCTCAGCCTGTTGTTCTCAGAGATGAGCTGTGTCCCTAAACTGGAGTACAAAGCTCTTAGGAGGTGGCTGGGAGTCTCCTGGTGGAGCCAGGGCAGGGAGGGTAAGAAGTCCAGGTGTCTCTGTGCTTTGCATTTGACACATTGGTGGTGTCAGGATCTCATGTGACCCTGCCTGTGGGTCACAGCTGTGGCATTCGTTCCCAACTCACATGCACCCCATCCCTATCTAGTCTCAGCTGCAGAGGCATCTCACCAGGCTTAGAATTTGGGCTAGAGGGAGGAAGCCTCTCTCCTCCCCTGCAGTTCTACTCTGGAAAGGCTATAAAAAACTGGAGGGACCTGAGCTGCCATCTCTGCTTCCAGTGCTAGAGGCCAAGGCAGCTGCCTGTGCTAGGCTCTGCCTGCTGTTTCCTGTGACGCACTTGTTCTTCAGCTCCTTGGCTTGCCCTCCAGCAGGGCTCAGGTCTTGTTCTATCCCAGAAGTTGACTCCCATTGCAGATGTCTCTCTACCTTCTTGCACTCTTGCTGTCACACAGGCCTTGGGCTCTGCTGGGGTCCTGGCATGTCCCTGTTCCCAGAAGGGTCAGTCCTGCTCTCAGCACCCCTGCTGCCTGACTTTTCTCTATTGATTGCTTGACTGTGAATAAATAAATTGATTGATTTTGCTAAAGAGCATCTTGGTCTGTTCTTGCATGGTCCCTGGGGTGCAGCAGGTGCCCCCTTGGATAGGCTGTCATAGGCTGCATCCTTGTGCAACTGCCCTTGTACTTTCTCTGGAGGGGGTGGGTGTGGGGGAAAATCCCAGCTGGTTCAAGCAAGGCCTATGAGAAGTGCCTTCCCTAGTGCCTTGACCTGCCCTGGCGCAGAGGAGACCAGATGTGGCTGCAGGCAGCTGCCTCCAGGAGCTGGGAACAAGAGATGCCCCACATCCCTCTGTATGGGGCAAATCCTAGGGGACCATGGAGAGGCAATGAGCCAGGTCTCCTGGGTCTGTCTGTTACCATGGCCAAGGCATTTCTCTTCTGGGGCTATTGTGGGTAGGTGTCTGCAAGCAAACCTGCCTGTTGCTGGATATGATGCCCTTTTTCAGTGCTGGAGCAAAATTTTCATTCTTTGAGCAGCAAGGCGTAGCTAGCAGTCTTCATCCTCGGAGCTTGGGGGCACTGTCACCTGGGTGCTGTTTCTCCACAGCTCATGGTTCTTGCCAGGGCCTCCTCTTGCTTGGGGTCCAATCCCATCTGTTATTGCTGGCTCAAGCTCCATGGGGATGTTCCAGTACTTCTACTTTTCCTGTGTTTGATATTGGACAGGGTACAGTCAACTCCAATCCCTCCCTTTCCTGCTGGTCTCAAAGTTTCTTTCCCATCCTGGAAGAGTGAGAAACCACAGAGCCCCTTGTGGGCTTTACACGTGTGTCTGTCCGTGTAACGGTGTGTCTGTCCGTGTAACGGTGTGCCCGCCCTTGTAGCCGTGTGTCTGTCCTTATAACCGTGTGTCTGTCCTTATAACCGTGTGTCTGTCCTTATAACCGTGTGTTTGTCCGTGTAGCCGTGTGTCTGTCCGTATAACCGTGTGTTTGTCCGTGTAGCCGTGTGTCTGTCCGTGTAGCCGTGTGTCTGTCCTTATAACCGTGTGTCTGTCCTTGTCGCCGTGTGTCTGTCCTTATAACCGTGTGTCTGTCCTTGTCGCCGTGTGTCTGTCCTTGTCGCGTATCCCTCCTCAGCGTTTCTCGGCCTTCGCCCGGCAGGTGGCGCCGAACACCACCGCCCTCTGCCCTCGGGGCCTCCATGGTGGCAGGTCCTGCCCACTCGGTAGTGAGCGCCCCGTGGGCCGGAGCCGCGGGTGGGGCGGCCGCTCAGGGACTGCAGCGGTGCTCAGGTAGCGCCGTCGGCGGCAG